AGACCCCCAGGATATCTTGGTAAGTTTCGACCTGGAATCTCTATTCACCAGAGTACCAGTCAAAGATGCCGTGAATGGTCTTCGCCAGAACTCATCGTAGAAGGTTTGCCGAAGGATGTCCCAGGACTAGTGAAGTACTCCCTATCATCGACATATTGTAACTGGAAACAAGAATTCTACGAGCAATGCGAAGGTTTAGTGTTAGTTCTAGTGATAGTGCTACTATTAGTTCTAGCTTTAGTTTAAGTTTCATTACCTTCAAAAAAAAGAAGAGTACAAATATTGCTGCCATTACCACATGATAAACCTAATGGCTAATACATGAAAAGTCTTATTGAAAGTGATCCATAATAGAATGTACAGAAAACTAGATGCAGACATCAACGACACTCAACTTGGATTCTTGGATTTGGATTCTCAACTTGGAAGAAAATAATAGATCTCAGACACAAAAGAATAATTTCATATTACTTCTACGGGCAAACAGCAACAGAGTGAGTAGATCACATGATATTCAAAGAAATAGAAATTCTGATAGGGGTACATCAAGGACACTTTTGAAAACCAAACAATTGTGAGATTATAGCAACAAATACAATTTGTTTATCACAAAATAATTATTGTACTACTATCCAAATCTGCCGAAACAAAAAGGTAACAGTATTCTTTATATAAGCAGTTTCTGCTGCAACTTATAGACTTTTCATCGTTATTTAAAGTGTCACATGATGATTGAGAACATTTTCAAATTACTTGCCAAAGACGAAACAAGTTAGAAAAGTTATGACAATATGGGAAAAGCTAATTTGTGGCTTAAAATACTTCCAATGGATTAAAAACAACTCAAAAATGTTAAAGAATGGTGAAATAAGAATTAATTATGATGTTTTTTTAGTCGGTTAGAAGGATACCAGGATAAAGAAGACTTATTTCCTTCCAATTTTCTTATAAAAGATTTGGTGTGTCTCAAAATGGTACTAATTACTTGGAAGCACTTATTTTAATGCTTGAAAACACGTAATAAGTTAATAACATAAGAAAAGATGTTTTGCAGAAAATTCACAGAATTTAGAATCTGGGAAAAGTTAACTGGTGTGATTCAAAGTGGTTTTAAAAGATTCAAAACGTCGCGACGATACTTAACGAGGATAAGAGAATGAAATATGGAAAAAGCTGGTTTTGTGTGAATTAAAATGATTCCAATGAATTAGAAATATCTCTATAATACTTAAAAACGCAAGGGATTAAAAGAATTGATCATAATGTTTCTTGAAACGGTTTCAAAGATACTAGGAATATTAAAAAAACGTGTTGGTATGTGTCAAAAAGGTACTAATTGATTAGAAATATTTTATTATTGTTTGAAAAACACAAACTAAGTTGATAACATTAAAGAGAGCAATTTTCAGAAAATTCACAGAATTTTGAATATGATGAAATCTGCATGTTATGAATTAAAATGGTTCTAATCAAACTAGAATACTTAACGAGCATAAAAGAATAATCAAGAATGATTTTGATATGACTTAAAAGAGTTTCCAGGATATGAGAAAATAGAATATTTTGACTGGGGTATGTCAAAATGGCTCATATCGGCTGAAAACGTTTTCAAATTACTTATCAAAAACGAGAGGAGGTAGAAAAGTTGATGAGGATGGTCTTCTGAAATTTCCAACGTTTCAGAATATAGTGAAAGCTGACGTGTAAATCAAAATTGATTGAACACATCGGTTTTATTATTGATCAGCAGAACAATTAAGCCCATTAAATTGATTGATGATGCTCAAACTTTGTTTGGATGTGTGTCTTGCTAAGTTAAAAAGTTATTACAACATGGGAAAAGCTAATTTGTGGCTTAAAATACTTTCAATGGATTAAAAACATCTCAAGAATGTTAAAAGACAATGAAATAAATAAAAGAATTAATTATGATGTTTTTTGAATCTGTTAGAAGGATACCAGGAAATAAAGAAGACTTATTTTAATGTTTAAAAACACGTAAGAACTTAAAAACATAAAAAAGACGTTTTGCAGAAAATTCAAAGAATTTGGAATATGAGAAAAGTTAACTGGTGTGATTCAAAATGGATTTAATAGATTCAAAACATCGCGAGGGTACTTAACGAGGATAAAAGAATGAAACAAAATAATTTTGATGCATTTTGAAAGAGTTTCAAGGATACCAGAAAATAGTCAAAAACGTAAAAATTTTGTTCAAAGGTTTTCTAGTTATTACAATATGGAAAAAGGTGATTTGGTGTGAATCAAAATGATTCCAATGAATTAGAAATATCTCTATAATATTTAGAGACGATAAGGGATTAAAAGAATTGATTATAATGGTTTTTGAAACTGTTTCAAAGATACTAGGAATTAAGAAAACGTGTTGGTATGTGTCAGAAAGGTACTAATTGATTAGAAATATTTTATTATCATTTGAAAAACACAAAGTAAGTTGATAACATTAAAGATGGTAATTTCCAGAAAATTCAAAGAATTTAAAATATTTAAATTCAAAATTAAAGATTTAAAAGAGTTTCAAGGATATATTGATCAGCAGATCAACCAAGCCCAGTAAATTGATCACTGTTCACAACATTCTAAAATGCTCTAACTTTATTTGGATTTGTGTCTTATTAAAAAGGCTCATCAAAATAAATTGTCCGCGGGAAGTTTGAAGACTTTGGGATATAATGGAAAGATGCCAATTTTAGGAATTACTACGTGTCCTTCTGTTGAGACTTCCATCGCCTAATAAGTTGTTTTATCTTGAAATCTACAATTTGACTAATGTAATTCCAAATATTAAGCTTCTTTTAGATTTCTTGGTGCAATCTGAAATCTGCAATATAAAGTTAAAGTTTTTCTTGAACTTTGGAATCTATGACTGGTGAAACACGGTTTCAATTTTTTTTTTCTTGGATTTTAGTAGCTAACTTTCTACTTAAGGTTAGGTTAAGCGTTGATTTGTATTTATGTTTTACGATGGAAAATTAAAATGATTAGAATCTATTTGATTTTTTATAGAATATGACGCTAACGTTGTTCTGATTACTCTTCTAGATTTTTTTACTGTATATAAGAGATTAATGTGTAGAAGCGATGTTTGCGTAACTCTCCCAAGAAACTGTGGAACTAATTTAGTAGGAGTTGATCGAAAACTCCGATTCATCCCAGGAGAGTGATCGATGATGCTATAAACACAGGAAATTATGTTATTAATAATTGAAGAGTACAGTAACCTATTAAGTAATCCAAATTGAACTCGTCATCAACTCCTGACCTCTTGCAAACTACACACTGAAACAATCCTTTTTCAAAATTTCTTTTTACTAGAATTCTCCAACATCATTCTGGTTGGAAAAATAAAAATATCTCCTAGAATGATATAGATTGAAATAAATTTATATCGTTGTCTATTTTTTTGTAACCACAATATTATTTACCACAATCTAAAATAAAATATAACAAGGAATTTAAAAACGTCCCAATATAAAAATCGTGTTTAACCAAACATTGACCACAGATTACTGTTGGAAATAGTAAATAACAATATTTCATTTTACCACAATCGCCACATATACCATAAAACGAATAAGAGTGAAATTGCTTTATTTCCATTCATTTTCGATATGCTGCGTCAAATATAGAATCATCGATGTAATTGCGTTAACATTATTAGACGATAATAGTCTTAGTACTTAATAGACTTAATCAAGTACCACATGATAGCTAAATAGCTATTGACAATTAAACTGAAAGGGTTTTCCGGATTTAGTTTAACCACAAAATTGTCCAATTATTGTAAATTAAACAACTTTATTGTACGAGAAGCACGTGTCCGTTACAAGTGCTTTCTTTTAATGCAATCGTAGTCGAACCAATTTAAAACTATAGAGTTTCTTAAACTATAACTGTGCACGGAAATGCTAAAACACTGTTGGAAAGAACGTTTCGCGGAATTACGTGACCAAAACAATCTCGCGTGTTTTCCGGATGGTGTTAAAGATTCTTCGCATCAATTACGTGAACGTTAACGTTAACGTTAGTTGACGGAGAGTTATAGCATCTTGCGAAAGTAATTTTAGTTGTATAATCGTTTCTAGTTACGCCCAATTCTGTTTGGACTTGATTGGAGGCCATTAAACACTTGGATGTGGGTAGCTGTGTCAATGGTGTGTATTGCATATGCGGCAATTCGCCGATTCGGCCTTGTTTTGTAACATATGTGGGTTTGATTCTTAGCAAAGAGAATTCTAAACGCGAACTCGAACGTGATATCCTTAAGAATAGCCTTAAGAATGGCAAAGAAGGAAGGTAACAAATGATCGTTTTTAAGGACAGTGGCACGAGCTAACAATAGTCGATTCCACGGATATAGTCGATTGAATCTAGACAATTTTCACGTTAGTATATGATATAACAGACGATTATTGCCCAAGAATATTTTCTTAGAATCACATATTTGCATAACTATTAACTTCCTGGAACATAAGCGACTCATTTTAAAAGGCGTTTTTTACATTAAGCCGCATTCCAGAGCTTTGTTGGTTTGGTACACAATGCACACGTTTGTTTGAATGAGTCAATATACAATTATCGCAAAATTAGTATGTGAGGAAAGGACGAATGACGTTATGAAACCTATACCTAGAAGATTCTCTCAATAATAATTAGTCATAGCAGGTGGGTTATTTAGGTTATTGAATATTTATAGAACATACGTTTTCAATTAGAAGAAAATATATTAAACAGTTAAACGTATAAATATATTTACGGATTATGAGCAAATGGAACAGTTATTACAAAAAGATTAATAGATTAAACGGTTACAGACTTTAAATTTAAATTTAATAATAACTCAGTGTCATCATAACGTTTATGTTGAAATTATTCATCAATCGTAGCTAAATAACAAAATGTATGTTGACATTTAAAATAAACAGTACGTTATATGTCGCGGGATGGGCAAAAAGCAGTCACGGCAACGGTTATCTCACCTGTTGAACATTTGATGCGAACAGAAGCACAAAACAGAATATTAATCGCACCACATTGTCACAGGTTATCACTGAATCGGGCCCCATCGTAAGCACGAAAAATTTGGTACTTAATGTTACGTCGAGGTCGAATAGATGTTCGTTCGTTCGTCCGACATAACTCCGTGACGTCGCGGTTATTTCTGAGGCGAGGTTCGTATGCCGCACCAACATTGAAATCGCCGGTGTCGAGTTTTGGTAGACCGCAATAAGTTGGATGGGAGACTCGACGGTGAAAACGTTATCGAAACTTATTTCTACGTTGACGTCAGTCTGGCTTTGCCTACTATACACCAGAGAGTTTGGTTTTGGTACACGCAGATCCTCGTGGGCACAGATACAGATGGTATGGAATGCAAGACGAAGATCACTTTCATTTTTTTCTGGACAAATAGTAGTGGTGAATCACTATTTTGTTGATGGTTTATCGATCAAACAAACGTAGGTATATATGTTTGTTAACCAATTAACAACTATAAAGTTAATAGTCTTTTATACACATATTTGGTATTGTAATGTATTGGGGGATGACAAATACCATAAAATAAATTCATTAATATTAACTCGTATTTTATTGTATTACTTTCTCATATATACGAAGTACATAAATAAGTCCCAAAGAATCTTAATATTGTTCAATAACACCCAATTGTACAAAAACTGACTCACATTTGCTCCTAATACCTCAAAAATAAAGAGACAATGACTCCAAATGGCTTTCAAGACTTGTAGTTATTAAGTACCTTTACATTTCACATCTCAATAACACCCAATTGTTCAAAAACTGACTCACATTTACTCCTAATACCTCAAAAATATGACTCCCAATGGCTTTCAAATCTTGGAGTTATTTAGTACCTTTACATTTCACATCTTAATAACACTTTAATAACTTCCAAAGAATCTCAATGTTGTTCAATAACACCCAATTGTACAAAAACTGACTCACATTTGCTCCTAATACCTCAAATATAAAGAGACAATGACTCCAAATGGCTTTCAAGACTTGTAGTTATTAAGTACCTTTACATTTCACATCTCGATAACACTTTAATCATTCTCAAAGAATCTTAATATTGTTCAATAACACCCAATTGTACAAAAACTGACTCACATTTACTCCTAATACCTCGAAAATAAAGAGGCAATGACTCCCAATGGCTTTCAAAACTTAAGTACCATTACATTTCACATCTCAATAACATCTTAATAATTCAGTAATATGTATATGAAGTTAGAGTCCTCGTCTATGCGTTTTTTTTTCTGAATCTATTCTGTCTACTTTTAGTATATGAGGTGAGTATCTAAATGGATATTTATTTTATCCACCCAAATTTTTGCATACTTTAACCCCAGCTCCCGAGAGCTAGTCTTTTAAAATTCTTAAATGGATTTGAAATACTTCATTTTATCGTTCTGACCTTAACAGGAATCTACATTTTGAAGAATGCTATAAGTGTGAGACGATATCCACAACAGTACGAAGAATTGCAACGAACACGTGAATATCATACTAGAAATAACAGTCAGCTTAACTTGCCAATGACAAGATTTACCCAAATTAAAAAAAAATTATGTAGCAATCGGCCAGAATATATAATCATCTTCTCGACGAAATAATATCATTGCCAACTCATCTACTAAAGGTGAAACTCAAGAGGTACTTGGAAAAACCCTTACTATGAACTGAGTGACTTGTATCAAGACAGAATAATTACATTAGTCAACAAATCTAAACATTTTTCTGCATTTGCTTTCTAAATGGGCTGATTTGACTAATTTAGGGATGCTCAGTTCAATGGTAAAATCACTTTTTGTCTATCACATCACATTTCCTAGATATTCAGCAGAATCAAAAACAGTACTGGCGAACATTGAAATATAACAAACAAGAAATACAGAATCAGTGTTTTAGAACTAAATATTATTTTGTATGTATAGTTACCACATAGACATCATGCCAATAGAATGTCTAAATTAGATCGCAACATATTTTCAACATTAATTTTCTTTGGTATTCACAAAATGTGTCAACGGTGTTCTTCTATTGTTAGCCATTCCATCACTCTCCCTAACAAGACCCCAGTAGTAGTTGCATCATCGAAGTGTTCCAGCGACCTTCATAACGTGTTCCATCATAGTAAGTATATCTTGGTGAAAACCTTCAACCTGCTCCCATATTTTCCGGAAGAAATTAAGGTGGGATTATAAAAAGTGAATTTTAAGCGACATTTACATCCCATATTCTTATAGCTGTTCAACAAATCTTTCTCAACTGCTTTAAAAGATAACCAAGCAGCTAATTCGATATTTGTGAGTTTTGTATAAAAGGCTGGATGTTTCAACAATTTTCTTATTTGTGGCCCAACAAATATAGCTTCTATCAGCTTTGCCACTCAATTTAGAAAACTTTTGTTTCAAATGATTGAAGACCTGCCTTCCTTCATCCAAAGCTTTTACAAAGTTCTTCATAAGACCCAACTTGATATGAAGCGGAGGCAAAATAATTTTCTCGAGCTTAACCAATGAAGTGTTTTTCACATTTTCTTTTCCAGCAACATATGATGTTCTTATAGGCCATTTCTTGTCTGTATAGTGGTTGTTAGTGTCATGGCTGCGCAAAAAGCAATAATATTTCATAAACCCACTCTGTAAACGTGTAAGGAGTGCAACAACTTTTAAGTCACAGCAAAGTTGTCATTCATGATCCTTATATTTCATTGCCTCTAGCAGCGAAGCCATAATTTCATAATTTCTCTTCATTTTTACTATGTAAGCCAAAGGCACCGATGGGAATGTTTTATTGTTGTATTGGAGTCAATAAAAAGTAGCCACTCCTGTCGGTTATGTTGTGTCAAAATATTGAGCGAAAGAAGTTGCTCTTGATCTAAAACAAGAAATTTTTATCCCTGGAAAATTACTTGACCCAATTTTTTTACACATACAAATAGCGTATAATAGTATTGATGGAATCTTTATCAGCTTGGACATTAAAACTGTATTATTAGCCTCCAACCGCCATTCGTCGATTTTTAATTTATTTTTTTCAACCCTTGGTTTCTTTGGTCTCAAGACTGAAAGAGCAATATTTCATTAATTTATTTCAGTTGAAGATGTCTAGGCATATCTTCTTCTCCAGAATATTGATAAGATTGATCTCCGTATGCAAGCTCTGGTGGAAAAATGGTCAAATCGACGTTTTTATTCGTATACACATACTTAAAACATTTCTTAAAGTATACTAAAACTGTTAAATTTTGGGTTGGATTGGGTTTTTAAGGTATTTTTCCACTTCCAAATTGAACCCATACAAGGATCACTACAAATTTAATAATATAAACTCAATAATTGACCGGTATCCACATTGTTATTGGTATATCAAGAATCGTAGCCATTTAAAACAAAATATATCAAATTCATTACACGTCTAATAAATTGATGACATATTTACAAATTACGTCAGATACATTAGTTGACAGACGCAAAAAGGGCAGCTTAGAAGCAATTAACATCTCGCTGCTTCTTTGGTAACATCAAGTTTAAAATTATTGTGAAATGGACCCCGCGTTAAGAGGATTGGCCTGCCTTCAGAGGAAAAAGGAAAGATGTAAATTAAAGTTTGTAGACCGAGACGGATCGTGTAATTTTGATGTATGTTCCTGTTCCACCGGCAGTAGTTTCTCTCAAAAAGTAAGTAATAATTCCCATTTGAAACAAAATCACACACATTCCTTTCGTTTCAGGATCACATATCAGAAGTCGGTTCTTGCAATCATGATGTTTGCGCGTGTTCAAGGGCATATAAAGATTACAAACAAAAACATCCCGTGGGCGATACTATTCCGGAAGAAAGTAGTTCGTCGGGATCAACTTCATCCTCAGGGTGTAAATGTAAAAAGGGAGGTAGTAGTTCTAGCGAATCTAGTTCGGATAATAAACGCAAACGTAAAAAGAGCAAATCGCAAAACGGCGATACTTTTTGCTTATGTAAGACTATGAATTCTTGTTATTGCGATGTACCAGGTCTGCCAGAACATATCTGTGCTGCAAATAAAGCTGCAATGCATGTTTGTGCGGCAGCAAAGGCAACAATAAAAACTGGTCCTGATCAACCTTGTGGATGTCCTGCCGACGCAGCCACAGAACCAGAACCTCCTCCAGATACAAAAACTGAATCCTCATCACATGGGTGTTCTTGTATGTCCGACGGTTCAGGCTCGAAAATAATGAAATTAAATGAAGGCGATGCATATGGTCCAGGAAATTTATTATGTCCCTACGCGACTGGAATAGTATCTCCAAAAGTTTCAGGTTCTGCAGGCACCTCTATACGAGCACCAGGTGGTCGAAGCTGCGTGAACGATACTTGCGATAAGAATTCAAGAGCGGATACATGCACATGTTCGACAAGAAGTAGTGGTCCCGGGGCAAACATACAATACTTTCAAGAAGTTGAAGAACCTCCCGACATTGGCATAGACTATATGTACTACTTGGGTGGAGCAGAAGATTTAGGAATGGAAGGGGCGTTTCAAGCCAGCGATCTACCTCTTGATGCAGGAAAATACTGCAAATGCGTACGCAAACCATCAACACAAACAGAGGTGGGGCCGATGCGTCCAATACAAACGCCTGCAAATCTTGGTCCAGTCGATGTAACTGGAGGGCCCACCTTAGGATTTGGTGGAGGAATTGCTGAAGATCAACAATCAAAAAAAGCTGCTGGTTGTCAGTGCACTAAATCTCCCCCTCCCTCTATTGGAAATCCATCAATTGTACCTGAATCTATTGCCCCTCCCTCTCCAGAACAACCATCTAAAAAGAGTTCTATTTGCTGCCCATGCAAATCAATTCAAGCATCACTTCCAGGAGGGGATCAACCGTCAATTAAAAAACTTCCAACACCACAACCAACTATTGGATCTGTAAAGTGTTGTGAATGTAAGTCACTGGCTACTGAGATAGGAAAACCTCCTGGTGATGCTCCAGGACTTCCGTTTCAACAACAATATGTAGGGCCACCTATAATTGGTTATGGTCCTGGATTTCCAGATCAACAACACCAAGAACAACAACAACAAACCGTCGATACCGGTGGTCGTTGTATGTGTAATTCAGCTCCTGTGGTAACAGATCAACAACCTACAACTCCAGGTGGAGGTTTTCCTACGTATCAAGATCAACGACCTCTGTCGGCTATGCCTACCTATCAAAACCAACCACCATGTGCAACTTTATCACCACCTCCACCTTGTACGACGATGCAAGCCCCACCTTGTCTTGATCAACCACCTGGTATGCAATATCCTGGCTATCCTCAACCAACAGGCCAACAAACGAGTCAACCACCAGGTATGCAATATCAAGGTTATCCCCAACCAATGGGTCCACCAACGGGTCCACCAATGGGTCCACCAATGGGTCCACCAATGGGTCCATGTCCTCCTTATCCTGATCAGTCACAAGGTATGCAATATCCCGGTTACCCTCAACCAGCAGCACCTCCTATCGATTTTTGCCAAGAAACTCTACGTCTTTTAAAAAGTATGCAATCAGAAAAACTTGCTTCTCTCGGTCAACCACAAACCGATTCATACGCGTTGCAACGTGAAGTTCAACAATGTAGATGTTGTATTGCTGAACAAGAAAATGAAATCGGCAGGTTGACTGGTCACGTTGAAAATTTGTCTAAAAAACGGGATAAAGGTGCATCTCGTGCCGGAGCAGTATGTTCGTGTTGTTCTGTAGATTCAAATGATTCGATTAAGCAGCAACTGGGAGAACTACAACAAGAATGCGAGGAAATTCAAGAGAAATTACAAAAGACGCAAGACGATTATACCGAAATTAAAACAGTCATTACTAATGAAAAGAATATGGTTGAGGCCATGCAAAATGAGTGCAAGAAAATTATCAACGATAAAGAGAAAGATCTGGCCATTTCCGGTTTGAAAAAGTCGTTGGAAGCAGTGAAATGTGAAAACGAAAATTTAACTGAATTACTTAAAAATGCCGGTGCTGTAAGTGATGAAGCTAAGGAAGAATTAAACCAACGACTAAATTGTTTAGAAAGTCAATTTGTAGCGGTACGCAATAAGCTTAAAACGCAGGAAGAAACGGCTTGTGCGATTAAAGGGTCGTTGAAGGAAAAGGAAAAAATGATTCAAGAGATCATAAGTAATAAGAAATCGCAATGTGATAAAGAAAAGGATTCGTGCGTACAAGCCTTGAAGCAAGCATTGGACGATGCTAAATGTGAAAATGCTAAACTGCAAGGAATGTTAACTAAAATATGTCCTGATAAAGGTGACGCCGATAATGCCTCATCAAACGGTGTGGTTAAAAAAGCAGCTGAAGAATTAGGTCGAGTTCTGAGGCAACAATCTGATGCAGCCCATCAAAAGATAACGAATATTGTTGAAAAACTCCAATCGGAATTAAAGAGTACCAATAAGACACTGAAAGATATAGCAAAATCTAGCGGAGTACCTGTTGATAATGCATCAGATAATTCTAGTCTTCCTTGTGGTCCTGCGGACGCCAAACAACCGCGAAGGAAATGTAGTAAACTACAAGCCAAGGAGCAGGTGCAACAAGATATTCTCGAAGCTTTGTGTAGTTGCAAAACAAAATCGGGAGAAGCCGTACAAAATGTTGTCGATCTGTAATTAAATTGATTAGAATCTGATAACTAATGTATCGATTACTTATAAAAATAACATCAAAGTAATCTATTAACACTATTGTCTTTTTTATCTTTTTGTGTCGAGCTGTAGAATGTGTAACGTCGCAATCTTTCTTCGGTTACGCCAAAATTATGAACGAAAACGGCGTTAGAGCACGCGAGTAAATCGTCCATCAGATTATATTGTGAAATCGCGTGTTACCTCAATGACCAAAATCGTACCCAACTTTGCTTAGGTCACTTTCTAGGAAGCTCGCATGTTAGACAAGTTAGGTCAGTAAAAAGTTTATAAACACATCGTTAACGTTTGTGACTGAATGAAATGAAAAAAAAAAGTTGGATAATAAATCACACTCTAAATTTGGCCATGATGAATGTCAAGGACACAGTGACAGCATAACGTTACAATTTTAAAAACAACTTGTTGGAAATTATAACAATACGAGAACATTCTCACGGTTTGAATTAATTTATATAGCTATAAAATTGAAATCATCTAAGATTATTACTAATTACAGTTATTTAATTAATCTAAGAATGCATGAAATTATTTCGTTTTATTACTATTTATCAATAATAATTAAGTTGCGATAAGAGTTTTACGTTTCACCGGCGTGGTTTTCTTTGTATCATTAATTTATAAAGTTTTCTAATCGTTAATTACGTGAAAGCAAAATGGAATGTCCTCGTAATAATTGTTGTTGGAATAAACGAACAGGTTGTATCTAGTAGAACGTGGGCTTTTAATTACAATAAATTACAAAACAATTTCCTGTATAAAGTAACAATCCCTATTATGTTATTATATCGAATAATAATTAAAGTATAACATTACTTATGCATGTTCAAAATTAATGTGGTAACTTTTTAATTTTAGAAAATCTACTACATAATAATCAATACGATCGAAAGTCAGGTAATTTTATTTTATTACTGGGTAATATATTTTTGTTGGCATGAACGGCGATAAATATCACATGAAGCCCTACCTAAGTCGATGGAAAAAGCCCATGGGCTAGAGCGAGGCAATAAATTGTTTATAACACGAGATGGTGTCGCTAACAGTACACTCTTCTAGCACAGCTGCCTGTAGCTTGTCGCTTAACAGGGTTTATATTAAATTTGCAGTGGCAGTACGAACTCAACTAATAACGTTCATTTTAATTACACCGAGAGACTTTCAGCTTTACCAGACCGACCATATGTTTTGTTTTCCTTCGTATACGTCAAAGCAAAATTTGAACACCAATTTGATATGGAAAATAAATCGAATTAAAATTAATTAATTTTAACATTAAACTTAATTTAGGTTTTTCTAAGAATTATCGTAAAAGATAACGTTTTCGTTTGGTATCAAGCCAAGGAAACCTCTTGGCTATCATTGCCAAGTTTTGTTGTAGGTGAATTAAACAGTAAATCCCATGCCAATTTTTTATGATCTTTTTGTTTTGGTTGTGGGCCAAAATAACTTTTTCGATTATGGGTTCTAAAGTGATGACCTTGTACTTTTCTTCTTACTAGTGTCAACAGAACGAATTGTCGCATATTATTTATGTATTTCAAAAATTGTAACTTATTTTTTTTAATAATATATTGTAATCATTTTCGAAAAGTTAGACGATTGGTTAAATATATGGTTTTTAACATCGTGTGTATAAATTAATAAAAATATGATTAAAAAAATACAGGAAATTATGTTAATGATGCAGTAATATCTTAGACCTAAATTTCCATTTTTTCAATTTGGACCAGAAAGTAATGAATACAATAATTTGAAATAATAATGTTTTAGATAATTCAAGAAATTATATCATTTGTACATATTGCGAAAATATAAATGAAGTTGTGTTAATGTAGAAGATGAAGCCTTCTAATAATGTCGCCTGACGGAGTCACGCAAAATTTCCTCGTAGCACGCAAATAAATTTTTTGTTTCACCTTTAGTGGCAGAAATGCACACTTATTTGATTTTCTGATTGAACTGGGTTTAAAGAACCAGGATGTTTAACGCCTTGGGGACTATGTGATCCATGAAATATCTTAAGGATGTATATTACACATATCTAATACGTCCGTTAGAATTTTTGTAACTTGTTTAAGAACTTTTGTTGTCAGGATTCCATGTGTCCCCATCATACCATATTGGCTATCATTTTTTCGGCTGCAATAATCTTTTAGATGCGACGCGGCTACCTATTTGCGTTACTACATAAGGTGTTATGAAATATTTATACAGTGTCCCAGATCGTTCCAGAAAACTAGGCGCATATTGCAACATTTAAATGAATGGCGATGGTTCCTAAACTGAAAGGTGTTACACCAAATCCACACCAAACACCAAAAATATTAGCTAACGAACTGTGACGACAATCTTATTTCCAGTAGTGCCGTGTTATTCTCAGCACAGAAGCAGCCAAGAGAAAACAGAGGTGAAAACGTTATTTAAAAAGTGACCAGACTTTCTATCTTAACAGATATCCGCATGGAAGACGAATGTGTATTTAAAAATTTTACAAGAATGTTGTTAGAACGTTTGTATACTTGGTAAATTTAATTCGTCCATCGGTAGCTCGCCAGGATACTAATTTTAGAAAAACTGGTAACATATACACCTTTGTGAGGTTTGGTAGTTTTGATGCAGATTCAGGCGATCTGATTACATGTAATTGGAGAAATATAAACCAGCCGGAGGAATGATTTTGTCCTTTAAGGAGAAAAGCGTGAAAATCTACAATAACATCTCAAAATATATGGCGACATGGCGTTATGATGGCAATCCTTGCCATTCCGCAAGAAGAACATAATGATGCAAAATATCGTTATCAACCCAAAACGAGAAAGTTCCTAGCTATAAAGTTATGCTCATTGTACACAACTTCAAATTCTCAATAGAAATTACTAAAAATTACTAGAATTACTAAAAATATAGAACTGAGAATGTCTCATAGAATAGCCACGTTATGCAAAAAATCGGATCCTCTTCTACCAAGGTAATAAATATTTACGTCGAATTCTGAAATACATCATTAATAATAATTTCTTCACTAGTCATATTCCACAGAATGTTTACGGTAGTACACAGCAAGATGTGGGAGTTTCACCTTAGATGACCAGTACTGCCAGTATGTTAGAAATAAAATCACACTTTATTATCGTTACAAGTAGTGGATATGCCATGAAGATAAAACCACCTAATCATTCCACGAGCCAAGATGCACAGAACATATTATGTGCTGCATTTAGTAATACCATAAAAGAATCTACAATGAACTCAGAAGGCTGTTAAGAAAATACTAAAAGAGAATATGGAAAAAACGATCGGTTATATAACAGGTAAGCAAGAACCTATGATATTATTCAACCTGATCATTTGGAAACCTAGTTCGGCAATATAGTAATTGACAAACTCAACATGGAGCTGAACACAGTATCTCTTTTTGGAATCGAAAAGCATTTAAAATGAGCTAAGTGGAAACACATAATATATTGTTCTTAGCTGCAGTTTTGGATCTTCCTTATCTTGCCGTCCTATACGTATATATTCGGTTTTGTAAATGTTCATTTTTATCCACCACTATACGCATAAACTTCGGGATTTATTCCTCACGACAAATAATGGCTAATAGGTGAAAAACATTGTAGCAAAACATTTTTCATTTCCTAGATATCCGATATATACGGCAAAATCTAGATAAAGTGCTTCCCGGAAGACGGACAGGTCGAGGTAGTTTGGCCTGGCCATCTCGATCGCCCGACCTCAATCCTCTTGTTTTTTTTTGTTTTGGGATCACTTAAAAAGCATAGTGTACGTCACCGAAGTTCATACTGAGCAAAGATTGCGTAATCAGATACAAACTGCTACCAAGACAATCCGCCAATATCAGCCAGATATCATCTCCAAAGAGTAGAGTCTTTCCTCCTATAAATCATCTTACACAACAATACCAACCCATCTCATCTATTTAGAACTGATACCACCATAGTTATTTCATCTTCTGCAAAAATATGTTTACATACATTTGAGTGGGTCGTTTGCTCATGTCCTCCTGATTGCAAGAGTTGCCTACACAAATGATGCATGGCGAAATTTAGTAACGAGATGAAGAATGATATGTACGGATCACATAATGTTGTGGAAAATGTTGAGAGCATCAAAAAGAATCAGATAGTACTCCGACGAAAAAACGTCAGGAAGCCATCCTCTGTTTCGTTGATCTAACCAAAACGTTCGACAAACTAAGGATAAAAGAATCAGAACAGGGCAAACATTACAAAGTACAAAATCAAGATTGAGTGCTATGCAGATGATGCCGTCCTCTTGGCTGATACTGAGGATGACATACAGTGGTTAACACAGGCATTTACATTGCAGCTGAGGAAGTGAATATTGAGGAAGTTAATACTGAGCAAGGATTATACAATCAGATAACGTCAGCGAACCCAAATGTGTATAGAAAATACTTGAAAGAAAATCTTGATTTGAAAGTAAATTTCATCGATATCTAGGAAACTAAAAAGCTTGTGGTACAATTTTGTCACCTATTACTCATTATTTGTCATGAGGAATAAATCCCCAAGTTTATGCGTATAAGTTGAGAATCATCCTGTACAATCCATGTCTTCTTGGGTGTTCTCAACAATCACTTGATCATTGGCGAAGAACAAAGTGTTTAATCACCAATCTCTATGATCATTCCTACGCATTTTAGTCTCCATTTTTTAGACATACATTTTAAACAGAGTTGACAACACGGAGCATCCTTGTTTTAATCCTTTCGTCACAGGGAATGGTTTAGTAATTTGGTTCTCAACATTACTTCACTTTCAGGATTCTTATAAATGCTTGTGATTGCACGTATATATATTTTTTCCATGCCTCTACATCAAATTTTCAAATATCTTTTCTAAGGGTACCATATCGAAAGCTTTTTCCAGATCAATAAATACGAGATGTGTAGTTAAGTCCCGATCATTTCAATTCAGGCCTATCTTTAGTAAGCAGTTGTCTATAATGTATTCGCATTCTTCTTACTATACTAGATTGATTCTTCCAAATTCTTTTCTCTCATTCTTTAGATTTTTGATTTCTTTCCATACAACGTTCTACTTCTTCACTTTTCATTTCCCACATCTCATGTTTGCTCATTTCATGATATTTTTTTACTTCTCTGTTCCTTCTAACACACATCCCTCGGTCCAAAGGGTCGGTTGTGAGAATTTTTGACATTTATAAATTCTATCTTCTACTTATAAATTATCTTAGTCTATAACTTCCAGGAGTATGAAATAAATTTCAGCAATGGTTTTATTAAGCTATTCATCAATCTGTCAAGTACATCTTATGTAACTTGTGCACAAAGAGTCTGTGACTCTAAAAGAATGAATTGAAAGAGATAGACGTTTGTTTTAGCCAGCGCAGTCGTGAGTCTTGACATCTTGTGGCTTCTGGTTATTGGGGATGGTGAAAGAACGCGTTTACGTCACTTTATATCTATGAAAATTTAAAAGTGCTATACCTTGGAACGTGTAGGATTAAGGAAGCCAATAGCATCATTTGGACTTGTGTACATAAAATTCAACACCATGTAAGTAACATCTATTTATTTATCTTTTAATTTTACATAAAAAAATAGTTCCCATCATAATATTGTGTCGAATATTAATTTATTAGCTAAAATAGAGATACGCCTAACCTGGTTCAATAATTAAAACTATACTAAATCTCAAACAAACATTTTTCAACAGCCCACGTGATCACTTAGACCAAGTGGAGTTAAAGCTCAAGATTAATGAGTTGGGCGAGATGATGTAATTTATTATTGCCTTTATCCTGGCGAATAGGCGGAGATTCCGAAAAGCTATTAAATAACTGTGGTGGCCCACACTTAACTTTCACGCATTTTTATATGGTACAATATAAATATTTGATGAAGTATTAATTAAAAACGTAACATGTTAAAGCTAAATCCGTTGATTACTTTAAAATCAATAAACTTCTTACACAACTATGTACTATAAAAGAAATAACAAAGAAATTTATTAAAACTTTTAAGAATACGAAACACAACTTCAACATTAAAGAAACTTACATAATTATAAAACCTTTTAAGACCAGAAAAGTTTTAGAAAATCCCTTACAATTTACGTAATAATAAAAAAAGGCGTTTTAATGATTTTAATATCAAGGGGATAATTCAAGTTCTCTGCAAAGTTGAATTTTAAGCGACGAGCTACTATAAATGAGAACGTTTACTGTGCGTGCAAGTAACACTTCTAATTGGCTACCCTCGTAATTAGCAAAGCTAAAACATACAGACGCGTTCGAGAAACGTGATGATATTCGCCAGCTAGCATACCATTTTGCGTTGTGCCTTCGAAAGCTGTCTGCAGTTGGCGCCACCGGCGTATCGACCAGCGGCTTCAGTGTACAATACGCAGAAAAGCTCCAGCTTCGGCGCCCTCAGCTACTCGCTTTCGTCACAGAGGAACAAACGGACGTCGTAACGTCGAAGCTTCAGTGTAACTTACCGATTTCCATCGGGAAAAGAACAATTAATCTTTAATTCAACAATTGATTTCGCGAATATTTCAGCAGACACGCACTTAAGAGGTGAGTTAATAGATGAATAAGTTATTTGGTATTTAATTGAAACTAAAAAAAATACGGATTGTTCACGTAATCGCTTTGTTTATTGAATTGGACGAATGGGGAGGGTTTTATTGGGGAGAGATTATTAACGCGGTTTGTTAGAAAAGCGTTTACCGGCTATCAACTGGTTAATTTCAAGTATGAATCACGAATGGATCAATAGAAGCAAATCACCCCCGTTATAGTCGTTGCGTAGTGGTATTTGTGCTATACTGACCCATTGCGATGCCGTTTATTCTGGAGGAATAAACGAAAATATAAAAAATGATGGGTTTTTTATCAGAGGGGAGGAAAATCAATAACTTCGTCACGTATTTCGTCCTTTCTGTAACGGGAGGATGTACCTAATTAATTTCGGAGCACGGTTTTATTCAGAACAAGTTCACTTTGCATTGAAATTTATTTAAATTATTTAAATTACCGAAGCAAATTAAGCAGGATTAAGTTTCCAGGAATAATTAAACCATCTCCTCTGGCTTTATGATATTCATTTATATTTTTATAGTTTTCTTTTGTTCAAGAGTTAAGATGTCTGAAACGCGCTCCATTATAAATTGACCTATTTTTTTCTTTCTCAGGATACGGTGTCAACTATAAGTATTCTTTTTATCTGTTTTTACGATATATTGATTGCCCTCTTTAATTCCATGTTAAGATTTATAAATTTTGAGGTGTATTGTTATATAGAATCTTGTATTTAATTTATTTCATTAAATCCCCTTGTATTTTAGGGATTAATAACGTTATTCAACGAAGATAATACGAAAAATTTCATTTCCAGTTCAAGAAAGGAAACTTTTGTTAAGAAATAAAGTTAATTTACATTTCGATCATTACCTTTATTTCGCCATTTATTCACCCCCTTTTCATTCATTTTGATTAATAATTTAAATGTGCCTTTCTTCTTTTATATAGCAGAAGCCATTTATATGTTAACCACAAAAAAACTTTAATATTTATGGATAGTCGAGTCATTGGAAAATTTATGAGCCATTCAATATTAATTAAACTGAAACAACACAAAAAATATTAACAAATAGATAAATAAATGTAATAAATAATTCATGTCGTATTTCATACTGAAACTATACAAGTGACAGTGTTTGCGATCTGTTTGTGATTGTATCGCTGTTGTTTTCGAGTAAAATGGAACGGCATAAACTAAAATTTACTAACCGCCAATCAAACTTGATGCACGCACCGACAAGCATCCATCAATAATAAGCTTTGTGGGGTTTGCATGCCCAATAATTATAAGTAAATTGCAAAGATGACGAAAAAAGGTTAGAATTTATTCCGCATATTGAGAATTAGGGTACTACATGGAATCTGCAATATGAAATTCCTAGCGTGTGTTGAATTAAACAAAAATTGGATTTGAAGCCAAAAATTTCAAAAATAACATTTGGTTTCAAAGAAAATCAATAAAACCCGTAATTAATTAGATAATTTCACGGTGAGTTACCTAACACTAAGCTCTTTCCCTACTACTAATGGGGTAATTGATAATTGATTTTCCTTCGTTAAACCTGGCGGTTGTTATCGATTTTCTTTCCCTGTTACTCTCTAGTATGTGTTGTTCTTCGAGTTTAAAGGATTTCTGTGTACGAATATCTACAATCTAAATCTACGATTCACTATTATTTCTTGTTAACCTTAATACTACTTTATATCCTCACTAGAACCGAAAAAATAAATCCACAAAAGTCAAAATACATCGTATCGACCGTAGATTTTTGTTAAATAAATGGCGGAGGAGCCGGGAAATTAAAAATTGTTATCTTATTTTTCTGTTTTATTTAAAACTTCGAATACGCCGCCCTTTTCCTGTAAGAATCTGGAACATTCGATTTCCATCTACGAATCCGGAATTGATCTGACATGTAATTCGCTGTCAAGATTGCGTTCGTACGAATTTTAAACGACCCCAACTTAAAGCTTAATAAAATTTACATTCGAACTGAAATCCGCACATAGACTACTTCCTCCCCTTTTTGAGGGTTAGATTACAAAATCGATACGGACGTTCACCTAGAGACTTCGTTTCTACGCAACCTGTTCTTTTTCACACCCGGTAGCATTCAAATTAAGACGATTAAAAACGACTTATTAAACCATTAACCAAAGATCTTTTTCATCTAACTTCTGATTTTATGAAATCAACTCTTTATATTCACTTCTAAGGTATTTATATTATATTATTAGAGAAGCAAATGTTTAAACATATTCGTGTCGTCATTAATGAATTGATTAGCTCGAATAATTTGTGTTGGGGAAACCATCAAAGACAACCTACGTTGCTTGGAAGGGAGCGTGTAGAATTTCGAATGTACTTCGAAATTAGAATGTAAAGTTTCGAAATTCTCTTGGGGTTGTAATTGTCTTTACACAATTTTACAAATTATATGGTTCTGGTGTCTTTTCATGTGAATACAATTTCTGTAGTTTAATTTCCCTTTTTGATTCTTCTTTGTATGCGAAAATATCCATTTTATATTCGGAATAAGAAACTCTACTGCTTTGTTCTTGTAAATGTGAGAAGTTAACACAAATAATCTGACTGTTGACAATAAGATATTTGTGTTTGGACTACTATAATCGGATTTTCTTGAAATATTTCCTGTGGCGACGGTTGCGAGAGTATTTGTTCTAGATACTGCATTATCTGGGTTTATTGCTTTCACAAATAAGCTGGAAAGGTTGTAAATTTTCGTTGGGAAAAATGATCACACTTTTTGCAATGAAAGGTTTTACTTACCTAAAAATATTAGGGGTACCCAATACACCATATTGAAGTTCTTGAAGTTCTATTGACAACGTTCAAAAGCTTGATTACTAATAAACAGTGTTATGATTTTTAGAACTTCTCGTCTATGTTGCGGTCCAATACCAATAATTAAGTCAATAACAGCTAGTTTAATAATAAATAATAACAAATAGTTTCTTACTTTAGTATGAATAGCAAAAATTTCACCTAGAAAGAATCATTACGATTTCCTAAGCGATAAGCGAATCTAACTTCTTCGATGCAACAAACTAGCTACTTACCGTAGTGGGTCACCCAAACTTCGAGTTAGTCGATTCGCTCATCTTGCGAGTAAACTGTCATCTGCACAGTCGAATCTCACCACGATAGATGGATGATTCTCGAATTTCTCCAAAAATGTCAATATTTGTGGAACCTTGTGTTGTTGGATTTACCCTCAATTGGCACAAATAATGCTTTTTTCCCATTGCATTTCTTCTAATTATCATGTGTATGCTGATGACCTCCAAATTTACACTACGACAACTATTGACGATTTTCCGGAAGCAATTGCACGTCTTAATCATGATCTTTCTAATATTTTGGATTGGTCTAAACGTTATGGCCTTAAATTAAATATTGCTAAAACTCAAGCAATTCTGTTTGGCAGCCGACCTTTATTAGCAAAGCTTAATGATTTTTCTCCCATTCACTTAATGCTTGACGGTGACATTATTCAGCTATCAGATACGGTTAGAAACCTTGGGGTGGTTATGGATTCCACAATGTCCTGGAAACCTCAAATTCAATCCGTCTGCAGAACGATCTATGATTGTTTCCACTCTCTAAAAAGTCTCCGCTGCTTCCTTCCTGCCATGGTCCGTCGTAATCTTTGTTATTCTCTGATTTTCCCCCATATAGATACGGCATATCCTGATCTTTCGGTAACACTTCGAAATAAACTGCAAAAACTTCAAAACAACTGTATACGGTATATATTTATTTTGATCTCGAGAGATCTCAACACATAACTCCATACCGTAGTTACTTACAGATATTAAGCTGTCAGAACCGTAGATCGTTTCGTATATTGACTATGTTAGGTATATAATGTTCTTCACAATCAAACATCAGGGTATCTGTACTGTATATTTCAACGCTTGTCGTCGCATGGTTTACCCACTAGATCTCCATAAACCATAAACCATATATCTCCATATACCATAAATCGTTTACTGTGCAAGCCATAACCCTTTGGAATAGTCTGTCTACTGAAATCCGTAATATTCCTCGCTTTATGACATTTAAAAACCATCTAAAACGTCATTTATTTGCTCTCCAAGTATCTTCCTGAGAACTTCTTCTTCTCCTTCTTCTTCCTTTTCTTCTATTACTTTTTTTCTTCTCTTTTTCTTTTATTCTAGCAACTAACATTATGCACCGTTTTAGTGACCATAGGTTTAACGTAGCAGCTTGCCATTTATTTATTGTATTTACTTAATGTATTTTTATAGATGACTGATAGGCTGACTGATTGGGTCCTATGGAAGATATCGCTTACGCGATAAATCGACCTTTCTGCCTATATTTATACATTAAGTAGTTAAATGTATACATTTTCTTTAATTTGTATTTTTTTATTATGGCCATAAATTTATTATTATTTATTATTTTATCATCGGTTCGTAATTCACCGTCTGGATTGAGTTGATTGTCGACGTAGTCGAAATGACTTCTTAGTTTTCTGGAAGATGAATTCAGCGATTTCAATGCTAGTAGTAGTTGATGTCGATTTTAACCAAGTTGACAGTATACCATCACCGGGGAAGAAGATTAGTACGTAATTATACATAAGAAGTATGAGAACTGAAAGATAACAATCACATATGACCCAAGAAATATGACGTTTTTGGTGTTCAAACGTGCAAGTATTAAGTGTTGAAAAATCTTAACCTGAAGCTGTATCTGTTCAAGGAAATACTTGAAATAGAAATTGATCGATTGCTAAACTCGATTACTTAATTAGTTTTGTTTATCAGCTATCGTGAACGTAGAAAGATAATACTGAAAAAAAATCAAAAGATTTCTAAAATTTCTATTGTGAAAGACTTGGCAAAGTTGTGCTAGAAGCAACCAACAGAAATTAATTGATATAAATGAGGAGTAATTATTTTATTATTGCGTTTATCTGGAATTTTTTAAAGTGTCTAGTAGGGCTAGTTGTGGTAAAACTCTCTTTTTGACCTATTCTCGAAAAAGTAATATCGTGTTTTTCTCTAGACATTTCTCACTCAATCTTCTAGAGTGTTCTCATCTGATTCAGTGCTCGAGGTACAAAAATCGGGTGTGCTCAACAAGAATCACGTTGGTAGCAATTGGAGGCCATCCAAAACATTTCCGGTTGTTGGATTTTATCCACCAACGTGATGGGATCCATTGCGTTCGCAAACTGTTGAGATTAGATGCTCTTCCAAACTAGAAGCTCGTCTTGTATTCGTAATCAATAGCCGCGTTCCATAATAAGACCGGGTTGTGGTATGTGTTGAACTGGTATGGCATCGTAAAATTTATTCATCGAGTTCCATTGATAAGGTTGCCTCTTAAGGTGGATTTAGCTCGAGATCGAATGCCTCGAAAAATGGTGGAGTGTCCTGACAGTAGCATTACATAATCCATGGATCTCCAAGTCTGATTTGCAGTATAGATCTTAGTTGTCTTAGTCTGTTGTAGACAGATATGACAATTGTGGTTTTCATGTACTGTAGATATACACTTTATTTACATGAAACTTTAGTGATGTTTTTATAAAAAAATTGCTATTCCACTTTACTGTGGTTAGGCAATTAGCCCAGTTCATTTGAAGCTTTGAAATACTTTTTGAAGAAAACTTTTGGGTCGTTGGCGTTTCAGAATGCCGTCTTTAGATAATTCGAAGGTGGGATTGTCTAACTACTGAAAACGAAGCAAATCAGCATTTGGTTTCAATTTAGGCAAAATCCTGTCTACTATATGCTCGATAGTTCTCTTTCAGTTGATTGTAGCAATACGTATTCTTCTGATATTTTATGGGCCAGGTTGCTTGGGGAAAGACCTTCACCTTAGCAAGTGCTGGTGGTGGATTAGGAGGTATAATTTGTTTGGGATTTATGATTGCCGGTTTATTCGGAGATTAAGGTGTCGAAGCAACAGGTTTTGGGGATGAAGGATTCTTATTAGCAGGTGAAGTTCATTTAAACATCGTAGAACTACATAGCAGTCTTTTTAACCATGCCCGTAGAGCTAATCTCGTAAGTACAATGAGATCATCCTGCACACATTGCAACTACATTAATATATTATGTTATTTTTAATCTTGAAGGAGTTGGGCGAAGATAAACAAGATCGGCCATTTCTCAAATTCTTGATCAAGCAAAGAACGCCTTTCAAGAGTTGTTCATAATGATTACGAGCACTTGTTAATCGGATTTGTCATATTTTTAATATTAATTCTAACCCGTTAATTTTAGTCCACGTTCCTTTATATATAAAAACTTGTAAGTTTCTTCATTTCTTCGTGTTTTCGACATTCTGGAATTTTCCATCACCATTGTCAATAGAAGAAAAATGTTTGTTCGATCCGGAGATGTTCAATATATCGCTGTCGATGGAGGCGATAATATGTGTAGAGCACCTATTCCCTCGAGGATGTTCTCGAGATAACGTTGTCCATTTCGACGATTCGTGTCGATCCGGTAGTCAGTTTTCTCTATATCCGATTACCATCCTTGATGTTTCTACGTCGAGAAACTCGCAGCGGTAAAAATTCTGTTTGTAGCTATTGCCGTTTTTAACACTACAAGTTTTTTACTTGTAGTGTTATTCGAGTTCCCAATTCGAACTGTAAACTCGGCGATTTATTCCAGAATCTTCCATTATTGCGAAAGTTACGATTTTTACAATAGATTCAGGATACTTACTATAGAAATGCGGAAGTTCGAATTTTAGGATAAAATTTAGATGAAAATTCGAATTGATGAATTGATTACTACAATCTTGACGAGGCAATCTTTCAAGATGATCCTTAGCTGTTTTTCCTCCGTGAGCTCGTAGGAATGCCATGATGCGGATTTGTTCATAATCTTTAAGTACGCGCGATGGTCGACTATGGCATCAGGGTAAATTGACACTACAATGTTCGAATTTGGTACATTATGTTAAAATTAATTCCAGTTCGAGCGATGACTCTGGTAATTTTAATCCATATTCTCAGCTAATTAATTCTTTTTCGGTAATTTAGAATAGCAAAATACGAATCATTTCAGAAATCCACTTCTACACATTTAATTTTTCCTGATAGTGTATTGTGTTTGCTGGTGATATGACGTTAAGAGAGGAAAGGTTTTATAGCACTCAATAATCCCTTTATTTGATCGTTCTGTGTTATACGTAGTCGATGTAATGTCAATACCATGTCCAGTTGAACTTCGATGACGTTGAAATTTTTCTCGTTTTTTTAATAATGTTTGCGTACTCCAGAGGGAGAGAAATTCTGTCATATTTTTTCATATTTCGTTTTTCACCCAAAGGCATAAAGCAGCCATAAAAATCGATCAGTTTATATCAAAGTATTGCATCATTGTAATATTTATATTAAGACAAGCAATTTCCTGGAATAATAATTAATTTTTATCATTGGGTTTTTATTTGCCCTTTAACAAAGTCTCAACGTTCTTCTACCTACTAATGGATTAGATTGAATTAGATTTTGGACTTTATTATTTACTTATTTTGTATTTCTGATTAATTTTTTAATACTATAATAATATCTCTAAAGATAAAGTGAAGTTTTTAACTACCATAAATTAAAATTAATTGCCCGTTTTAAAAAAGTTTTAATTACGAGTAAATTGTTTCTGTTACAAACAAGTTTCGAAACGGATCAAAAAAGTTTAATTCCTTCTCCCTCGTTGTATCCAGCATTCTAAAATTTTCCATACATTCTCATTTTGGTTTTACTTTGAAACTTTATTTTGCCCCATACGCCGCATTAATTTAAATTATGCCCCCGTGTTCACCGTATTAATTTATTAGCCCTGCGGGGTTGACGTAATACACATCTCGTTAAGATATTAGCCCGGGGGATGGGCAGTGTTGATTTGTAGCTCATTCATTTTAAGAGCGTTGGATAATCACGATCGATTAACGACATCTTCGCCCGAACGAAATTGCAGCTAATGACTAAATTTTCTACCATTTCAGGGTGTGTCAACGTTTCGGCGGGCTATTTAATTAGCCGGCAAAATTACCGAGTGCGGAAAATACTGCGGACCAACCGCAAACGGCCCAACCATTTCGTTCAGCAGCTTCAGGCAGTCTTTTACCTCGAATGTCAATTACCTGAAACGGAGGTTCAGCTCCGGGGATCTATCCTCGGAGTGCGACGAGAATGAGGCGCAGGTTGATCCTTATTCAAAAGCACCTCCCGTTACCTCTCAACCCCAGGTGAGTTAACTTTACATTCAAGTTAAATTTGTTTGTTAAACTTTATGTTCAAATAAGATCTTTAAATCAGATCTTTAAACATTACCTCAAACACCAAAAACATAAATTTTAAAGTTTTAAAAAGTGACCTAAATTCGTTTTATGTCCTTGTCGCCGTGCAAAGCGAGCAATTACGTAGTGTTATTAAGTATTAAAGAGAAGCACTTAACATGTCTTGAGTGCTCTTTTCACGATTTCCTCAAAAGGTTACTAATGAGAAATGGGAAGTTTAGGACAAAGTGCTCTATATTAAAAATAGGATATGTAACTTTAGAATTACATAAATTGTAGGTTTATGGCAAGAAGAAATCATCGACCTCGCTAAAGTAAAGCTGGTGGCTTAAAGAAGGTTGTAAAAGTACACGCTCAGTCGTAAAGAGTACGAGGTCATATTGACCACAAAAAAGTGGGGTTGTTTGGATTTACTACCGGACGTGGGAATCGATAATGATTACCTATACTAGTATAGGATATAAAAAAAGCCCATTTTATTTAAATTAAATTAAGCTCCAATTTATTTAATAACATTTAGATGTAAAAAAATAAGTGGTAAATTGAAATCGTCTTGGGAAAGGTTATTTCATGAGTTGTTTTGCTTTCGACATTCCAGTATTTGTTGTAGTGGTGTTTTTATTTGTTAAAAAAATTTCGTTGCGTTGCTTCTGGGGTTTCCACATATATTCAGCGATTTAGTAACATTCTTCAGAAATTTTCAAAACCAACCAAAAACGGAATTTAAAAACATTATTAAGAATTTTCAAAACTTCAGAGTATATTCGAAAAATGAGAAAATATCTTAATATAAACAAAAAAATAATATCTCAAGAATGAAAACATATTTTGAAAAATCACTTCAATATGCTGATAATATCATAATGATTTATTGAAATCCCGATTTACTTTGATTTTTTGCAAATTTAGTTGAAATAACGGTATTAAATCAAACCAACCCGAAATTGGTCAACATATCGCCTCGACAGCTAGAGAACTTGGATAAAGCTAGAGCTTAGAATCTGTAGCTTCGCCTTGACCTTCGCCGGCCTAAAATAAGTACCATATCAACACATCGCAACGCCTTGGTCGCAAGCGATATCGTCTCAATTTATGAAGAAAAATGTATTAATAAGCCGAGGTCGATTCCGGCTGAGGTTCTGGTATTATTACCACATCAACTCGAAACTGCTCAACATATCGCAACACCTCAGACACAAGTGAGCTTGGCTAAAGTAAGGGCTTACAATCTATTGCTTTGCTTTGTCAAGTAGACGTCGCTTGCGGCAGAGGCTTTAGACGAAGTACCAAATCGACCCGAAACTTAACCAGTTTCTTAAGGATGAGAATCTGTAACTTTGCATTAATAAGCCGAGGTCGCTTGTGGCCGAGGCTACGATATTAATACCAAACCAACCCGAAACTTGTTAACATATCACAACACCTTGGCTGCGAGTGAACTTGGTTAAAGTTAGGGTGTAGAATCTATTGCGTAGCTTTGTTAAGCCACGATCGCTAGTTACTTCCGAGACTTTAGAATAAGTACCATCATTCAACACGAAACTGGTCAATATATTGCAACATTTCGTCCATAAGTGTCTTCAATTAATCTTAAGGAGGACAACCTATGACTCAGCCTTACTAAACCGAGGTCTCTTACAGCCGAGGCTCAGCTATTAATACCAAACCAACCCGAAACTAGTCAACATATTGCAATGACTTGGCCGCAAGCGACCTCAGCTTAGTAAGCAAAAGCCATAGATTCTCCTCGATAAATTTGGCCAAGGCGGCTTGCAATCAAGGTTTCGGTATTAATACCAAACCAACCCCAAACTGGTCAAGATATCGCAACACCACAACCTCAAGCGACCTCGGTTAAACTTAAGGAGCAGAATTTATGAATTTGCCTTACTAAGACGAGGTCACATGAGGACAAGGAACGAAAACGCCTCGGCGTCAAGCATTTACCTAAGTTAAGTTTAAAAGTTAATTTTTCTAAAACTGAAAGATATTCCGAAAATCTGCTTCTTCCATTGAAAAGTTTATAATTTGTCTATAACAAAGTTTATAACAATTGCTGATAATTTCATAATAATGTACTGAAATTCCAATTTATTACGATTTTTTGAAAATGAATGAAAATAGTTACTTAACCTGAAAAAAATATCTGGTTATGTTTAAAAATTAATATCTCTAAAACTAAAAGATATTTACAAAAAACGTTTCTTGCATTGGAAAGCTTATAATTTGTATAACAAGTGCTGATAATTTCATAATGATTCATATTTATTATGATTGTTCGAAAATGAATATAATTTGTTGCTTAATAATGCTGATAATTTCATAAGAATTTATTAAAACCACGATTTATTACGATTTTTTGGAAATAATTGAAAATAATTGTTGTTTCTAAATAACGAGAAAATGCCTTATTACATTTCAGAATTAATATCTCAAAAACTAGAAGATATTTTGAGAATCCGTTTCTTTCTTTGAAAAGCTTATAATTTATATAGTAAATGCTGATCATTTCATAAGTATTTATTAAAATTACGATTTATTACGATTTCTTGAAAATGATTGAAAATAATTGTTGTTTTCGTTAAATAAGAAAATACATTAATACGTTTAAAAATTAATATCTCAAAAAGTAAAAGATATTATGAAAATCCGTTTCTTTCATTGGAAAGTTTATAATTTGTATAACAATTGCTGATAATTTCATAATAATGTACTGAAATTCCAATTTATTATGATTTTTTGAAAATGAATGAAAATAGTTACTTAACCTGAAAAAAATATCTGGTTATGTTTAAAAATTAATATCTCTAAAACTAAAAGATATTTATAAAAAACGTTTCTTGCATTGGAAAGCTTATAATTTGTATAACAAGTGCTGATAATTTCATAATGATTCATACAAATTGCAATTTATTATGATTGTTCGAAAATGAATATAATTTGTTGCTTAATAATGCTGATAATTTCATAAGAATTTATTAAAACCACGATTTATTACGATTTTTTGAAAATAATTGAAAATAATTGTTGTTTCTGAATAACGAGAAAATGTCTTATTACATTTCAGAATTAATATCTCAAAAACTAGAAGATATTTTGAGAATCCGTTTCTTTCTTTGAAAAGCTTATAATTTATATAGTAAATGCTGATCATTTCATAAGTATTTATTAAAATTACGATTTATTACGATTTCTTGAAAATAATTGAAAATAATTGTTGTTTTCGTTAAATAAGAAAATACATTAATACGTTTAAAAATTAATATCTCAAAAAGTAAGAGATATTATGAAAATCCGTTTCTTTTATTGGAAAGTTTATAATTTGTATTGTAAATGCCGATAATTTCATAAGAATTTATTAAAACTACGATTTATGAGGATTTTTTGAAAATAATTGTTGTTTCTGAAAAATGAGAAAATGCCTTATTACGTTTCAGGATAAATATCTCAAAAACTAGAAGATATCTTGAGAATCCGTTTCTTTTATTGAAAAGTTTATAATTTGTATTGTAAATGTCGATAATTTCATAAGAATTTATTGATACTACGATTTATTACGATTTTTTGAAAATGATTGAAAATAATGGTTGTTTTTGAAAAATGATACAATGCCTTATTACATCTAAAAATTAATACCTCAAAAACTAACAGACATTTTGAAAATCCGTTTTCTTCATTAGAAAGCTTATAAATTGTATAATAAAAGCTGATAATTTCATAATGATTCATTGAAATTCCAATTTATTATATTAAAATCTAATATCGATTCATCTACTTATATGTGTAAAATATTTCAGAATGATTGCTCAAGCAGTTTTTGAGATATCGTATCCAAGAACTGTAAACACTTTTATCATTTTAAAAAAAAAAAAATGGTTTTGAAAGTTCCAAATGAATTTCCCCCCTTAATAGAAATTACATTTAAAAAAAACTGATAGAAAAATTTAATTAATTTAAATTTTTAATTCCAAGAGGTGTTTCTACATTTAGTTGAAACTGCATTTCTGTTATATTCCAAACGTAAATCGGATTCCCGTCCCCTCTACTCCATTTACACATTCTCGTTTGCAACATCCGACCACAAAATCACTAATTATAAACTGCACCCTTGCAATTTAAATTAGGCTGGATGCAGCAAATATAATAATTGAATTTTCCCTAATCTAATCTAAAACTTAACATAAAATTATTGTGTTGTTAACGTAATAAGAAACTTTTCTCTTTATATTTAACAAACTAACTGAATACATTTAGTAACACAATACATCGAATTGCTACTTACTGGTTGGTTTGCAACCCGTTTTTGTAGCATTTCTCCGCTGTTAGCGTTTAGGTTTTAACGAGCGTTTTCAAAGTTTCTTTGGCGTCTTGGCCTGAAGCTCACGTCGTATTTAACCGATGTTAATGATCCGTGACTTCGTGGTAACAATGGTCCGCTTGAGGCTGACCGTTCGAGGCTGTTTAACTCGCAGTGAGGTCGTGTCTACTAGTTATTGAGTATCACGTGCTCGTGTGTCTCTAGGACCGTATATTTCATCAATAACCGTTATGCTTCCAGAGCGATGGTTTCGATCTTGTATACATTTTTTTTTAAATTTTATCTCGTATAACATTGATATTCCGGAAGTATTTTCTTCTACATAATTTATGACTTGTAGCTTGCAAAACTTCCTACTATTAATCTTAATAACTTTGTTAGTAAGATGTAAAGTCGTAGTTACAAGGAGAATTATGAAGTTTTAGTAACTTTTTGATGTAATACGGAAGATGAAAATCAGTTAGCGTTAAATTTAAAATTCTTTTAAAACTAATTGTAATATTTAATCGATTCTTTTTCAGGCACCTCCACCCCCTCCTCCAGTTCAACCTGCAACCTCCACCAGCGATTTATCGCTAAATTTACGACCAGGATCTAAAACAACAAGTGCTCCAAGTAGTCCTGCTAAATCTAGGGAATCATTACTTCAACGCGTTCAATCTTTAACAGGTCAAGCTAGAGATCAAGGTGCATCAATTTTAGGAGCAGCTGTGAGCAGTGCAAGTAGAGTGACATCATCGGTATCTTCGGGAAAATACCTCACTTTGTTAGTTATTGATGATCAAAATACCGATTGGTCCAAGTACTTCCGCGGAAAGAAGATCGGAGATTATGATATTCGCGTGGAACAAGCGGAATTTAAAGAACTCAACATTACAGCGAGTTCGGAGGGAGTTAACGTTTCAATGGGACCTTATAGGGGTGGATCACGAACTGGAAGAACTTTTAAACCGGATTTCTTGTTGGTAAGATGGTCAATACAAGATACGCAAAAGAGTTTATTATAATTTAATGCTTATCTTCGAATAAATTTTAAAGCGACACTTACTTTAGGCACTTTGCCAAAAACAGCTTTTCGAACGATAAGATTAACGAAATTTACGATTCGAAATTTAACCCTACTAAAATACAAAGTGAAATTACAATCGAAATTTTCTACTAATGTTTACTCGAAAGAAAACTAGTTGAAATTGGAATCAAAACTTTTTCTTTTGAAATACAATTCAAAGAAAAACTTTCTGTGTAAGAAGTTTTCCGGTGAATCACTTTGAATTGGACGCGAACTTTTCAAATATCCGGTTACATAAAATTTTATATTTTATTACTCTTTTATTTTATTTTCTTTTTCCTTTTAGGTGAGGCAAAATCTTCGGGACGCAGGAGAGGACTATAAAAAATTACTACTGGCTTTAAAATTTGGTGGAGTGCCAACAATAAACAACCTCAACGCAGTGTACAACTTCCAGGTACGTAAAGTTATGCAGCACAAAAAGCTTGGACGGCATAAAAGTGTAGTTTATTTTACGGTAACGAACGTGTTAACAGTTTATAACAAAATCACTGAACATTTCTTTGTACAAATGGACGATTATAACAAAATGACAATAAATATAAATATTTAAAATATACATTATATAAAAAAATCTTCAATTTACAGGACAAGCCTTGGGTTTTTGGGCATCTTGTCCAAATTCAACGACGTATTGGAAAAGACTCTTTTCCCCTTATTGAACAAACTTTCTACCCTGATCATCGAGAAATGGTAAGTAGAAAGATCTTTTACATTGCGCCAGCTCCTTATTCTTGGTCCACATACATTGATTACTTGGTGTTTTTTGACATATACCCTAAAACAATATAATTTTTTAAATTGATATGTATTAAGTTCGCGAAAGTTTTTTTGTTGAAAATTTTTTGGACAAATGATTATTAACTATCATTATTTTATAAGTTTTATACACAAATGGATAAATGTTTGATTAACAAAAAAGATTCCATTTTTAACAATTTGCATGAATCTAATACAACAATGAGTAAAACTCAACGATTTAAATTTTTTTATTATTTTCTAACTGTTTTTTTCTTCTTTCATAACACATTGGCTATTAAGTGTTAATAGTGTAGTAGAACATAGTACACTATTAGAACATGGCAAAAGTTAATACTGCTTTGGAGTCGATGCCTTTGTAATTCTATTGATACTTGATTAAATTTGGCAGAGTCACTTTTTCTAATTAACACATTGATTACCTACTACCTGGGAAAGCTTAAGTAGCAACAAATAGTAAAAAAATGTATCGTTTGAAACTAATAGACTATAGACAACTGATTTCATAGAAACAGTGAATACAAAAATACGGGTTGTTCAAATTTGAGTTGCACTACATATTTGATTACGGTGCCAACACTTAGACGTATAACGAATGCTTTCTCAAAGAGATCTGATCACCGATGATTCTATAAGTACCAAAAGTACCTTATGGAATGCAAGTTGGTGCAAGTGTGGGAAATAGCATAAGATTTGCTTCCCAAGACACCTCTTGGGTTGCTTATGATCTTAGAATGAAATACACTCAGATTGACAATAAAGGTGGAATGAAATTGATTGCATTTAGTGCAAAAGACTGCAAAATTTATCGATGGGAGCTTGTGAGATAAAAAAGAATTTCAAAAATGTTTTGTTTATTTGGGTATTGCTCCACCAACTCATACAAAACTGATATATCCCATTTATTTTATTCAATTTTGACCAATAATTTTAAACGAAGAGTGCAATAGACAATCCCAATTCGTCAAAATTGCAAATTCTATAAGGAGTACTCAACCCAAACTTTTCGAGCACCTCAGGAATGTTATTTAAAATCTTGACTTATGGATGTTCTAGATTTCTGGTAATTTTTTTTCAGTTGCTTCATCATATTTAAATGTTAAGAGTCAAACACCTTTTTGATGGGGCAATAGTTCCTTTCTGCCACATTTAATATCATTCATGTTTTGTAGAAACATTCTCTACATAACACTTTATTACCGTCTTTAAGTCAAATTGTGTTTATGGCGGTTTCTCTGCTTCCAGGTTACTCATATATAAATAAATATTTACTACTATATGTATAGAAGCAAATAATAGATAATTCTGGTTATGAATTATATTTCTTTGTTTTATTATAAACTATTTCTATGTAAAACATTTTACTCCATCATTTTTAATATACGAGATATAATCAGGATTAGTAACCTAAATCAACAATTTTGACCATTTGGAAATTTTGACTTTCTATTTAGAATATAATAATATTTGAGTTAGATCTGGTTATGAATTATGTATTTATGGTTCATTATAAGCAATTTATATTTAAAATATACTTCTTCATCGGCTTAAATTTTTCGTAATGATTGTCTTTTTATAACAAATCTGCAAAAACCAACAATTTTGGCATTTTAGAGATCTGTACTTTATAACTACAATATAATAATATTTGAGATAATTCAGGTTATGAATTATGTTTCTTTGTTTCATTATAAACAATTTCTATGTAAAACATTTTACTCCATCATTTTTAATTTTCGAGATATGATCAAAATTAGTAACCTAAATCAACAATTAGACAGTCATATTATTTGAAGGATAATAACATTAACTTCGGACACATCTCATTAACTAAGTGAGATTAAGATACAGATAAAATTCTGACAAGTAGATGCTAACACTAACTATAATGAAAACTGTTTCTGGGTATATTATAGTATTGGTTCAAAAATCTCTCTATAACGTAGATGCAGGTGACATGGACCCATTAAATGCCCAAACATAGCGCGACAAGTGCGCGGCAGTACACAATATTGTCGTGCGGAAGTTTGGACATATCAAAGAATATTTGCCCGGAAGTACTATGCAGTATAGACATGTCGCGCATTTACTAAAAATGTTTGGGATTGACAGGTAAAGTGAGGCAGCCGAATTCGAATGCCGCGCAATGTTTGGACACACCCTTAGACTTAACTGATACAAAACCTTTGCACTATCATTGTCTTTTGACTCAATTAGACGAATATTTTTGCCCGGAATTATTCTTTTCCATGCAATATATAGTAACGATATCGTTATGCTTTTTAAGGTGGAACTCAGTAAATTCCATTATTCCAATTTAGATATTATGGCATAAACCATTTTAAGATAACTTTAAAGGTAATCATGTTAGATTGAAGAATGGATTAATTATGAGGTACAGTTGACATATTCTTGGATTGGCAATGAGATTGGATTGAGTCAGGTTCAAGAACAATCAACTTAGGTTGGAACAAATATACCAGAACTAGAACTAGCAGAACTAAACTGGCACGATTTCTGAAAAAATAATTTTTGTTCTATGTGCAATGAACAAAAACCAAAAAGATTTAAAACATGTAGAGTTGGTAGTTTCATACTAGTTATAGTAATTTTATAGATCTTAGCTGACAAAATTTAAAAAACAATCATTTAAAAATGTGGCAAATCTGCGTGATCTTCAGTGTCTAACACAGAGGACAAAACTCCAAAGAAGGGTTAAGGTGTGTATTGAAAATCTACATTATTTTAAATCACCCGATAATTGTCTACTACACTGCTTTGTATTCACTTTATGTCCTAAATGCAAAAATGAAAGCGATAACAACATTTGCTTATTTTTAGCTGTTTTCTAGAGATAATTTCTCAATCAATTGCTTAACCGATTGCTTAAAGGTGTTATGCATAACTCGGTCGTGCTTTTCTCAATTTAAGGTCGTGGTTACAACCTCATCATGAATAAATTGTGCTATCCATAAAAATGATTATCTACTGATTTTTCAAAAATTTGTCCAAAAACCTTATATTTAAGAAAACAACTTTTACCTCTTTTACAAAACAAGAAGACGCTGGACCTTGCACCCAATTACACGCCGTTCGAATTTTCCTACATCTTCCAGCAGTACATCGATTAATTTTGCAATTACATCCATTGTGATATAATTTCCTCAACCCTTTACGTTGTCGTTTCGTTAATTGTGACCATTCCACAGCCATATTACATAACCCAAAATTTGCTTTCAAACCGAATACTCTTCCAGTTAACGCGTATACTTTTCCAACTTCCAACGTCCGTCCACACATGCTATCGTCAGTGGCCGTTATCAGATGCCTTGTCTTCAAAGCTTCCCGAGCTTTATCGTTTAATTTGTAACCCTTCTTCAATACCACCACGTACACTCTCCTTTCGTTAATTACGAATTCTCGTCGGATACGAACCAGAATTGCTGAAACAATACGTTCAATGAGTAATTGAAATGGGTCAAGTAATAAATCACCAATATTGGAAATTGGGAAATGCGAAAAACTATCCGTCATTTTTTTATTTATTTTTTAAATTAAATTGAACGAGTTTTCGAGCAAAAACATAATAAAATATGTTATCTGGCAGGAAAAATTGGTGACCAATTTAAAGTGATTGATGGCTTTTTTAATGTGATTTATTTTATAGACCGGGTTGTTGGTTTTACTTTATTTTTATTACCTAAATACTGCAACCGAAGGGAGAGTGTCTTATTGGGACGTAAAATGCGTTTCGTAAATATTTTTTCTTTTACTAAATAAACATTTCTGGTTTTAAAACTATCTTATCAACCGATATAAAATTATCCCCGATGGCCGCTCATTATGTAACGAGCCGAGTATGGATTACATATCGTAATTTATTTTTAGTACGCGTACACGAATATTATGCTGTAAGCTCGCATGATTGAAGAGTTATACGATGCATTAATTTTAGCACAACTCCACTTGTATATACATTTCGCGATAAGCTAGGAATCTTTATTACCAAAACTAAAATATATATTTACTTACCAAAATCATCTCTACAATAATGTTGTTGGGGATGTGCGGGCATGCAGGAACAAGATTCTATTTCTGTAGTCCACAAGCTCAAAATAATGAGCAAGGACACCAACCATGTAAACCACGGCATATCTGGAATCAGAAATGCGACTAATTGTAGAAAGGATGAACCTATCGTGAAAAAAACTACACCATTTGATGCAAATTTATGCACTCTCGTAACTGATCGGATTACCGCACGTGACGATGTATGCTTTTCATCTATCAAACCACTGTTCTATCCGTCTATTTTATTGCTTTTACAGATCTATTTTTTCAATTGGACGCGCAAATCGCGACCGGCATTGAAACGACGTCGCAACATTTTTTTTCATCTCCAGATTCATTCATTAAGTCATTAAAGATACCGACAACGCTAGAATTAAGCGCCCCCTTAGCATAATTACACGCTATTTAAAAATCGTCTTAATGGCGCTTAATTATACCCGAGAGAAACCTGAAGATCGGTCAGAACTATGTTATGCGTAAACGGTTATGGATTCTAATTCTAAAAAAAAATGTTTGTGGGAATTGCGCCTCGGGGCTTTTCAAAAATGGTAATGTGCGGCGGCAGTTGTGCATTGTTTTGTCAGCTTTGCGAATTGACAGCAAAAGTATCTCTCGAAACGAAAATAGAAACGCACCGTATTAAAAACCACTCGATATGCGCATAGGGAAGCAAAATGCTAACTACGGTAAACAGAAACCGGTGGCATTTAACTTTATACGGTTTCGTAATACAGTAAAAACACGATATAGCGGACCTTGTTAGAACGGATTTCGGATATAACGGATACATTATTTTTAAGTCATACTATTAATATTATCTATTTAGTACATCAGTATGTTTAAATATAAATTTTAGCGCTCAT